TGTAAAGGACTTAGGATTTGGTAGTGAGAAGACAATTATTGTCATACTGTAGATACATTACTTAAGGTTTGGTAGTGAGGTGACCATTATTGTCATACTGTAGATAAATGACTTAGGTTTTGGTAGTGAGGTAACCATTATTGTCATACTGTTGATAAATGACTTAGGGTTTGGTAATGAGGTGACCATTATTGTCATACTGTAGATAAATGACTAAGGGTTTGGTAGTGAGGTGACCATTATTGTTATACTGTAGATAAATGTCTTGAGGTTTGGTAGTGAGGTGACCATGATTGTGCGGTAACACACCCCCCCCCCCCCCCCCTCCCCACACACACGCACACACACATGAGCTCATTAGAGGACAGGATTACATCTCCCTATTGTACAAATTATACCAATGTTGTTTAATATGTAAATGATGACAGTACAAACTGCTTTAGAAGATTTATTAATAGTATTACTGACAAAATAAATCTGATGCCGTTTGTAGTAATTTTCTGATGCCATTTGCAATGTGAGTCCCCTTTCAGTATCGGTATCAGAATCAGAAATTTGGTAGCTATGCTCTAGACATTTTGTACTGTTGTACTACTGTTCTTGTTTGATGTTGTTTCGCTTATGTTGTGAATGATAGAAGTTGTAGGATCATTTCTAATATATATCATCTCGGTACACGCCACAGAAGAGGCGACTAATGAGGGGACCCCCTGCAGCGTCGTAAATTTCCATACTGTGATTATTTTTCTTCCAGCAGTGGAGGTTGATATCACATTCATATATGTTTAAGTATAGTAAATCTATTCTCCTGGCACTTAGACCAGTGAGTCATAATATTATAACACATCTTTTAGAGGATTTTAAGGAATCAAATTCGGAGAAAAACTTGCGCACTATACGTGGGACACGGGCAGTAAAGGGTGCTGTTGGGCGAATACCAAGTGTTATCGGTGTTAAATCAAACGGAACCAGTGGTTGTACCCACTCGGGCCTGAACACTGAAAACCTCATCCATTTGATCACTACAAATGGATGAAGTATCAGGTATCAACACTATTGGGTATTCTCGTAACGATACTTCCACACGGATTCCGACATCATCAGTATCGTACGATAATTTACATGTCATCAAGCCAACAACAGCTGGTTACTGTAAGTCATTTATTTCTCTGAATTTAGTGTCTTTAAACTGTCGCTCGGTGAAGAATAAGTCATTGTCCATCGGGGATTTTGTAACATCTCGGGACATTGACATTCTTGCATTGACAGAAACTTGGTTAGGTTCAGATATCGATGACCAGGTTCTAGCTGAGCTAATACCAACAGGCTATGGATTCCTCTACAATGCTAGACTTGGCAAACGTGGTGGTGAGGTGGGTGTTCTGTTTAAGAAAGGCCTAAGTGTGAGACATCTTTCTTCCAGCCATGATGATGTATACACACACTTTGAGCACATGACTGGTTCTGTCATTGCTGGTGATAAACAATTTAGATTGTATATCATTTACAGGCTTCCTCCATCTAAACATAATGCTTTCCGAAATACTGTGTTTTTTCGATGAATGGTCTACCTTTTTAGACAACCAAGTTGTTGTACCACAAGAGATTATTATCACGGATGATCTAAATTTCCACTTAGACGATCTATCTAATGTTGATGCTCGCCAGTTCTCTGGTCTACTAGATTCCAGGGGTCTGATTCAGCATTTGACAGAAGCTACACACACTCATGGCCACACACTGGATGTGGTCATAACGAGGGAAGATGACTTAATCATTCATGGAGCTATTTCAGTGATTGATCCATGTCTAAGTGATGTAAAGGGGAACCAATCCGGTGATCATCTTGCTGTCCACGCAACACTGAATTGTAGTAAGCCAGATCGTGCAAGGAAAGAAGTAAGCTTCCGGAAATTCCGCCAAATTTCAATACCAGATTTCAACAATGACATTCAGTCTTGTTCCGCCCTTCAATCTACTGAAGGCGGGGTTGATGAACTGTTTGAAGCATACACATCTGGTATAGAAGCCCTTATAGAGAAACACGCACCTGCAGACAAAGGTGATAACTGTGAGACCAAATGCCCCGTGGTATAATGAAAATCTCCGCGTAGAAAAACAGAACCGTAGAAAAGCAGAGAGACAGTGGCGATGGATCAAATTAACCGTTTACCAACAGATTTATAGGGAACAATGTCGGCTAGTTGGTTCACTACTCTTTCAGTCAAAGAAGGCTGATTATAGACTCACCAAAAACCTTATGGGATAGAAAGGTGAAATTATCCTACCAAGCTGTAATTCTGAAAAAGACTTAGCAAGCCAGTTGCTTTCTGAATAAAATCAGCTCAATCAGGAAAGATATTGCCGAAGTGAACTCCTCTGCTGACATTGACATCTCTGTCATGACTGCTGACATTGCATTTGATGGGGGGACCATTGGCAAAGCTCTCACCAACAACCCAGGACGAGTTGCGCAACATTATCATGACCTCGCAATCGAAGTCCTGTGAGCTTGATCCAATGCCTACAGACTTATTAAAGCAATGTCTTGAAGCACTGCTTCCGTTGATTACCTCAATCATGAACAAATCATTGGCTGAGTCAAAGGTTCCATTACGTTTAAAACAACGCACATGTCAGACCATTGTTAAAGAAGCCTGGAATGGACAAGGAGGAATTGAAAAACTACCGCCCAAGTTTCAAATCTGCCTTTTCTGTCTAAGATCTTGGAGAAGGTTGTATCCCGGCGTTTAGAGGTTCATCTTCATGCAAACAGTCTCAATGACAACATGCAATCGGCCTACCGCATGGGACACTCTACTGATCATGAGACGGCCCTCCTACGTTTACATAATGATATAGCTTCTGCATTGGATAACAAGTGCAGAGCGTCGCTTGTCTTGCTGGACTTTTCAGCTGCATTTGACGTCATCGACCATGGCAAACGTCTGGAATACTCTTATGGAGTGACTGATACCACAATATGCTGGATACAGTCGTATCTGAGTCAACGACGACAGTGTGTTGCTATCGGATCTTCCACCTCATATGACAAAGTACTAGATTTCGGGGTTCCTCAAGGGTCGGTGTTAGGACCACGAAAATATTGTATGTACTCCAAACCGATGGGAGAGATTTGTCGTCGCCATAGCCTTCGTTATCATTGATATGCCGATGACACACAAATCTGACAGATATCAGTATCTGGATGAATGCCAACATGCTTAAGTTTAATAAGGAAAAGACGGAACTAATCGTCTTTTCCCAAAAGTGTCAGCAAACAATGGATCTCCAGCTCAAGGTCGGTGCCATAACTACTGAGACTGTTCCAGCTGTTAAAAACCTAGGGGTATACTTTGATAGTTCACTGAACATGGAGAAACAAATGAACGCTATTGCCAAATCCTGTTAATACCAGATCAGGAACATCGACTGTATTCTGCAGTTTATAACTGCAGGTGCATGTAAGATTTTGGTGCATTCACTTGTTACCTCTCGGTTGGATTATGGTAACGCCCTGCTCTTTGGTATATCTGACAAACTAACTAGTCGTCTGCAAAGGGTCCAGAACACTGCAGCACGGCTAGTTACTCGTACTCGAAAGAGAGAGCACCTCACACCTGTGCTTTATTCGTTGCACTGGTTACCTGTACGATACAGGTCGCAGTATAAAATCTGGTGTACACATACAAGGCTCCTCAGTACCTACATGAGCTTGTTACCCTGTATCAGCCGTCACGATCACTTCGGTCGGAGTCAGAATCTTTGTTGTGTGTCCCAAAGTCTCGTACTGTGACCTACGGAAACAGATGCTTTGGGAGGGTTTCGGCTACGTTTTGGAATAGCTTACCGTCTGCTATTAGAAAATCAAATACCCTGGCCAAGTTCAAGAGGGACATTAAAACTCACCTTTTCACGTCTGCATTTTAGTATCCTTGCAAATACGTCATGTAAATACCACCCTTTTATTTGTTCAGTTATGTGCACATTGCTTGCTTAAATGTATAAAAGTGATTGTAAGCCTTTGGGTTTTTTTGTTTTCACAATTATAACCATTACTATTATCCATATGTTGTAAAGCTCTTTAGAGTAAATTTACAAATTATATAGGGCGCTATATAATTGTTGCATATTGTTATTATTTATTATTATTATATGTATTTTCTACGCCATTAATGATAGCCGCCTCTACTGCAATCGGGAGCTATCGGCATAACTGTTTCGCAAAAGACGCCCTTCTCGCCAACACACACCTTCTTCAACCTAGTTTAACTAGATCATTGTTATACAACCCACGATAATATGTTTATACTAACTTTACCTGATGACCCTTTATCAGATAAGAACAGAAATACGTTTCCTTGGCCGTGTTTTGTACGTCTCTTATTGGCACAAGTACTATGATTACCGTACTGGGATAATGGAAATTCCCGCTTGTGGAATGTTCGCAGTGTGGATATTTCCACGTTGACATTTTTTCTGAAATCTCTCTATATAAATGCAATACAATAAATATAATCGATATAAATATGATACACTTTTGCCCTACACTCTCATACATTGATGATTTGTGATGTTGACTCAGTCTTGCTATTTCTATATATATTTATGTATATCACCATTGCAATTATGACGTCACAATGTTTTTGTCAATATTGCAGTACTCTCCTCCGTACAGTTTTCATACGTTCCATATTTTAAATAGTTAAACCATTATTTGGCGTCAAGTCAAGAGAGAGAGAGAGAGACAGAGAAAGAGAGACAGAGAGACAGAGAGAGACAGAGACACAGAGAGAGAGAGAGAGAGAGAGAGAGAGAGAGAGAGAGAGAGAGAGATCAGTCCTTTAAGAGAGTAGTTAAAATCAAATAAGTGTAACCAAACGGTGAGGTGGATATTCCACTATGAAAGTGGAAGACAACACTTTACATACAATGTCGATAACCAGTATCAAAGTAATGTGACATGGAACTTTTCCTGAAATGATAACAGATCTTATCTCTGTACCTATCACGTATAGTTGTCACGTGGTAGTCTGTAATATTCATTGACATATTTTTCTCTTTGAAGCTGCGAGATTGATCATGCGGTGTACTGTGTACGTAGTGTTTACAATTGGTCTTAGTATTTTGGCCAACGCCGCTCAAATTCATCAACTTCTCCATGACGGACTCTGTCTTTGTGTGGCTGACTCGGACGTCTATGCCAGAACCGGACGTAAGGCTTTATTCATATCTGTATTTATGTGATACCAAACATAAATGTCTTGGATCTGATATCAATTTTGAAAGTCGTCTGAATATCCGTTTTCTGTATGCTGACCTGTCACTACCAAATAGGTTACTTTCTTTTGAAGTAAAGGAAACTTGAATTCCGTTTATGAATACGTTATTGTCAGTTTTCTCCGAGGTTTGTTGAAAATTCATTATCATAGCAAACAAAAGCTATTCCTTAGTTAGCATTAAGCGCTCTAATTAAATATATATCGTGTTTGTATTTCTTAATCAATGAAATAGACATCTTTAGGTAAAATTGGAAGGGAAGAAGCGGCACCAATTATGACTTCCATATTTCATATCGCTGTCAACTGATTATAGAGTAACGAAGTGGCACTCCGCCCTCTTTTCCTCTGCTATTTCTTCTTCCGCGCCTAACACTATTTCCTTCATTTACTAAAGCATAAATTCTAAGTAAGGCATCAAACATACTTTATTTGTAGCTGGTCCTCAGTACCTTATAGCCGGTACACTACAGGTGAACGAGTGTTTCGTCTCCAACGGGGGGTTATCCCACGAGGGTTTTGAGGACGGACAGTCTTGGTATGAACTCAAGCAGATCAAAGGACAGGTAAGTGTCCATAATATATATAACCGCAGTAAATTGATCCTTACGGACGAAGAAAAAGAAAGCTCAATAACATATTTTATTTCATATATATAAATATTAAATATGTAACATCTACCAATAGGCCTTTCTGCCGTCTATGTCTTCTTCAGTCGGTCTGAAGATATATATCGAAACAAAAACAATAAGACAAATCATTCACAAAGTAGCAAATCTATAAACATTTTCAGTCAGAAAAATATATAGGCATGATCAGAGGACATTGGATTTCATTTATCTTTTTATGAAATGAGACTCCATGTTGTTTGAATGGTTTTGTAAACTTCAAAGAGCTAAAAGTTCAAATTTCAAAAGATTCATATGACATGGTAAGTGAATTTTCAATCGTTACAACCTAAGTAAATAAATTATATGGTCTTTCTTATGTTTCTTTCATTTCAAATACAATGGTTTACCAGCGTGTAACTATAAGAAATTTTTGAATTCAGAGAAAATCTCTTACCGAGCTTATTATTGCATCAATTATTTCGTTGATTAAAAAAAGACCACAAATTCTAGGCATAATACGAACGTTGTATGACACATTCCAGGCATAACACGAACGTTGTATGACACATTCTAGGCATAACACTAACGTTGTATGACGCATTCTAGGCATAACACGAACATTGTATGACATATTCTAGGCATAACACGAACGTTGTATGACGCATTCTAGGCATAACACGAACATTGTATAACATATTATAGGCATAACACGAACGTTGTATGACGCATTCTAGGCATAACACGAACATTGTATAACATATTATAGGCATAACACGAACGATGTATGACATATTCTAGGCATAACACGAACATTGTATAACATATTCTAGGTATAACACGAACGTTGTATGACACATTCTAGGCATAACACGAACGTTGCATGCCATATTCTAGGCATAACACGAACGATGTATGACATATTCTAGGCATAACACGAACGTTGTATGAAATTTATTTCACATACTTTTCATAATAATATGTCGTTGTCATACTAATCCGGAAGCATGTATCCCCCACAGTTTGCCTGGGTAGATGGCTTCCATCTACGTGCCAAGAACGCGTCTTACTGTCCGAACACCGGAGCTGTTGTACTCTCAGGTTTGTTGTGTTCAAAGTAAAATTACACTCCTTTCTGAGTGACAGACTTATCACCATGTCTTGTCGTCCCGTGCAATCCTTTCGTTGATAAAATGTCCAGTTTCTAACATGTTTATCTACAAATGGCCCTTCCGTGTAAGGTAGGCTCAACGCCTATGGAGATTTAACATAAGCGTCGGCCCCCGCTTGGAATTTCAAAACAAGATAAAACCAAAAAAGTGTTTGTTATAAAAAGCTTAAATCAGGAACAGTTAGTTTCAGAATTTATTTGATGAAGAATGGGACCTCCTTGACTTACACCTGTGTGGGTGTTAAAAGTGCAGTAATTCAATTCCTCCCAGAGCATTTAAATGGCACAATTACTATAAAAGTATATCATCATCGTGTGCAACATATTCCATCTGTTATTTTAATACCGAATATTACACTATTTCAAGAAAGAATTGTTCTTTTTATTGAAGTTTTAAGCAGAAAAGTATGTGAAATTTCATTACTAATGAGACATTTCAATTTTTGACACGTTAATTTATATAGTTCTAAAACTAGTCTATTTTGCATACTTGCTTAACAGTTGGCTACCAATAATATCCTTCAACAACAGAAATTTCAAAAACATTGACAACCATTAACTTTGTAATATAACACTTTTGATTTTTCAGCTTTCTTTCCACTTTTCCTTTAACTTGTGTTTTTTCGTGACCAAATGTCTTTGGGTCTTGATATTTAGCAAGTAGGTTGTTCATGTGAATGGATTTAAGTTTTGTAAACGTTGATGACCTTGACCTTCGTTCAACTTCGTTGCGGGGGGGGGGGGGGGGGGGGNAAGTGTATACTAGTTTTACTATTAAAATTAGTTATTGTTTTTATACAATTGCACATCTTTGTCTTTAACAAAATCTCAACCTTAAGTAGTTCTCCAGAGGAAAGATAACTTTGACAGAATACATATTCATTAGTTATTACTGCTGCACATAACTTTGAATCATGCTTAATATAATACAGTGTTTTGGTATGATACTAGCACAGAAAATGTATGAGTATTTATTATGAATAATCATGTATGCTGTTATTGATAATTTTTATGTAAAATCAAAGTGGGGGCCAAATGTTGACCCCACCTTTGATCTCTTCTGTTTCTCATTTCTGCTCTGACACATGAAGAGACAAGATTGTTTTCATAGATTGTTCATAAAATATTGCAAACATATTCAAAAGGAAATTCTGTATTATGATAATCTATTTAGAAGTGTTCTGACACAGTATTCCTTGTATATTTCTTTAGGAACGTTATTATTTTATATACAGATGTGGATCACAATCACTAGAATTACGAAGTTATGGAACACCTAATGAAAGATTGGTTACAGATGATTTTTTGCAAAATTTGTGTTAAAATTTCTTTCAGGTGCACAGAATATTCCAACCTGTTTGACACATGTAGGGTGAGTATATCCATGTACTTTTCAGTTTGTTTCACATCACTTTTGCAAAGTCACCTTGTAACTGACGGATGTCTTTGGATATTTCCGAAATTTTCATCTCTTGTTTTATTTCTCTTAGGAGTATAAAACAATCTGAATTCGTTACCTTGAATTTGATACATTTTGAGAATGCCTTTGTTGTTATTCATCTGAACAACTAAGCATATATTTGTTCGTTCGGCTATGTTTAGTAGTCCCTGGTTTTTATCGGAGAGAACCGCTGTGAAATATAGAAATCATTCTATCGTCACAATCTCTTGTTTTTTAGTATTGCATTTCTATAAACATGTTTCTGTCCAGGATTCGAACCCTGGACCTTTGGTCATTATTCACTATTGGGATACTTTAACAAACTAATTGTAAGCTCCCAGATGATTAAAGGAAAGGTATCACCCTGGCCCAGTTTCGGCTTTAATTACCGAAATTGAATTAAATTGTTTCGATGGGACAGGAACCTTTAAAATCAATCGCTGGAAAGCAGGATTGGCTGACAACCGTGTAATGTTTTAAGTGATACAATACAGCCTTGATATTAGAATTACCATATTGAAACGGCTATTTACAGCACGTATATCAGCTTTCATGTATAACTATTTTTATTTATTCGCGATTATTATAATTTCCAAATTAATAAAACTTCTTTAAATATTATAGTTTTCGAAATCGTGTTTAGTCTTCATGAATACGAAACCATCACCGGAAGTCCTATAACAAATAATATGTTACTTTAAACATTCTGTGCTTTAATGATGTTATGGAGAATATTTCAATACTATAAACAACAATTGTCTGTTTTCTAGGTTGTTCCAGGAAGGCGATATGGTTCACCAGAGCGGAAAAGTTTGTCGTTGTCATAACTCACAGTTACTTTGTCCTAACACACTCATCGGCTAAACGGAAGTGGAAATATACTCTCGACTGCTTTATATTAAACACATAAAGTAGAAAATAAATGTCTGTGTGTGTTTTCCCTGTATGTGTTTGTGTCCTGAACCAATGAAATAAAGACCAAGAAATCGTGGTCATGTGGACCATTTGAAAAACAAATGTTAATTCCATATTAGCAGTTTTTACTTTCATGTAATTGAAGTGTGTATTTGTGTCGAACGTACTCTGCTGGTGGATGTTTTAGTCCCCGAGGTTTGCCGTTACCTTGATAACCACAGCTATCGTCTTAGAGTAGTGACAATTTTCATAATATTCACACTTTATTCTTTATTAACTTGAAATTAACCAATTTGGATCTCTTTTTTTTGGTCTCTAGGATCACCAACGAGACCTTGTATGACGAAACAGCTGTGTATTGCATTGTAATTCATTATATCATACTGGTACGACAAGAGCGTGTCTTATACTCATCTTTCTAAGTAAAAAAATGGTACACTCAGCTTGTGGATTTCTGAGTCCCTGAGTTTTGCCTTAACATTTACATCCACAGCATCCATATAATTTTTCCTTAGAATACTGTTTCTATGTCCGAAGTTCAGAGGTCCAATCACATGTGTACGTCGTACCTTTACCTTTTATGTACCCATGTATTTACGTTGTCGTTTATTGTACGATTGTGGCTCTCAGCAAGCACCCCTTTTTTATACGCCCGTCGGGACGTACATGTAATATGTTTTCACTCGGGCGTTCGGGCGGGCACACAATGGATTCATTTCAAACTTGGTAGGAAGTTTCATTGCCATGAAAGTTCGGACAAGTTCGATAACGAAAATGATTCCCCGGTTATTTATGGAGTTATGGCCCTTTGTAGAATTGCTGAAATAACTTGAGTAATTTTGAATAGATTCATTTCAAACTTCATAGGACTGTTCATTTCTATGAAAGCTTGCACAAGTTCGATAACCATTATCCGCCCGTTATTAAGGGAGTAATAGCCCTTTATAGAATTGACATGACAGTTTCCGCTCAATAACTACAGTAATTTTGAATATATTCATTTCAAACTTCATAGGAAGGTTCATTTATATGAAAGCTTGCTACAACCAAAATTATTTGCTGGTTATTTACTTAGTTATTGCCCTTTGTAGATTAGCCGAAACAGTTTCCGCTCAATAACTTCAGTAATTTTGAATGGATTAATTTCAAACTTCAGCCATCATTTACGGACTTACGGCCTTTTGTAGAATGGTTGGAACACAATTTCTGCGCAATAACTGTATGCACTTATGGCCCTTTGTGGCAAGCTACAGTCAGTGATCGTATCCCTTAGGATTGTGATCGCGACAGGCAAATAACTCATTTTGTTACTTAATCCATAGGTGAGACAAAAACAAACAATTCAGTCTTCACCGTTTTCTAATACATCACTGCGATGTCCTCGCCAACATGTTTTGGCCGTGTGATCAAATTTGATATCCCTTCACACAAGCTAGGTACATGTGAACTGTCAATGCTCTAGGCATCATTGCTAAGTAGTTGACATTTAATTTGTTAACACATGTGATGACACCACTGACCTTAGAAGTGATGCAACGCCGTTAAGCTGGTAAGCGTACCTCTCAGTAAGCTACGGTACAATATCGCTTAGTGGTTTTAAGAGCTCTCACACCAACAATAATTCTTCTCAGGAATCTATACTAGGCGTTACAGTTCCGAAGAGTTGATTTGTGTATTTGAAAGAAAGTGGGTCTGGGTCATATTTTTGAACAAATTTGATAGCCCTCTGGCACAGCAGGCTACAAAAGAAATTTATTTTTCAATTTTGTATAGTTGGAAGCTCTATAGAAGAAGTAATTTAAAGAAGAAGAGGCCAATGGACGACGGACACTGCGCCATCACCTGTGGAAAGTCTGACGCTTGTTAAATGACCTTAACACGGAAAATAAGGTGACTGAATGTGCGCAAATACACTTCATTTTTACTTTTCCGATAGATAATGCTGCGCTATCCTCATGCTAACCTCATCACTGAGAAATATCACTTGGGAATCAGGTTTTTAGGCGGTGAGGTAAATATTTGCCAAGAAAATCGAAAGGCGAAATAAATGTATGGTTGCAAACTATTTTCGAGCATATTTTTAAAACCACAACTAAGTGAGGATGAAACGTTAGAAAAACTACGTTCTTAAGAAGGCAGATACCGCTACCAATTGACCACATTTTCACATGACATTTTACTATTATCTATCTCTTTTTCTGCTTATGACTCCTTTCTCTTTATACTCCCTGTTGTGCCGAGAAGCTACATGTATCAGACAGGTAAGCAGTGTCTATATGCTGCATATATGGAAATAATCAAAATAATAACAGCCAACTGTCAGGGCTTGGGGATAGAAATAAGCGTAAAGATGTATTTGCAAATTTTAGAAGCATGTACTTTAACATTTATTGCATACAGGATACACATTTTACAGCGGATATAGAAACTATGATCAGATCAGAATGGGGATACACTTATAGTTTTATTCAATAATAATATTGAAGCCAAGGTTATAAAGGAGAAGAAAGATTTAGATGGACACTTTCTAGCTCTAGACATTTTTACAGCTGAAAAAAGATTTACACTTGTTAATATATATGGACCCAACTCGGATACACCGAGCTTTTATGGATTTTAATTTAGTTTTGAACCCAGAATTAGATTGTAACAATTATAGACAAGTTAACAATCCTTAGGTAAGAGAAAGAGTCTTAGAGATGATAAATGAACTTGGACTTATTGATATTTATAGAGAACAACACCAAGAAAGTAAAAGAAATACATGGCGGTGGTCAAATCCAATAAAGCAAGCAAGATTAGATTATTTTTTTACTTTCTGAGAACCTTATATCATGTATACAAAAACAAATATTGACCCAGGCTATCGTTCTTATCATTCCATACCATGTATAGCAATAAAATTCAACGAATTTAAGAAAGAAAAAGGCCTATGGAAGTTTAATAACTCTTTACTTCATGATTTAGATTATCTGAAATTAACAAATAAACATATACTAGACGTTAAAACTCAGTATGCAATACCAATATATGCTCAGAATAGTTTAGATGATATTTCAAATGAGGATATTCAATTTACAATAGATGATCAACTTTTTTTAGAAACTCTTTTATTTGAAATTAGGGGGAAAAACATTTCATATGCGTCCTATAAGAAAAAACCGAGAACGAGTCAAGACCGATATCTATGGGAAAGAATCAAAGAATTAGAAGAGCAAGATGATGTCAACTTTTCAGATTTTGAAGAAAAACAAAGAATTAGAGTCAATAAGAAAACGTAATCTTAAGGGAAGTATTTTAAGGTCTAAAGTAAAATGGGTGGAAGAGGGTGAAAAACCTTCAAGGTATTTCTTAAATCTGGAAAATAGGAACTTTGTTGCAAAAAAATATACCAGTTGTAGAAAAGGATGATGGGGAAACAATTAGAAATCAGGGGGAAATTTTAAATGAAGTTCAACAGTTTTATGAAAAATTGTTTTCAGAAGACAATCAATTACATAATATAAACTTGAATGAATATCTTAATGATGATAGTATACCAAAACTGAATTGTATAGAGTCAAACAATTTAGAGGGTAATATCACCTTTAATGAGAAATCTCATACTCTTAAAAATATGAAAAATATGAAAAGTCCAGGTTCAGACGGGTTTACAGTAGAAATTTTAAAAAGGTTTTGGAAACAGCTAGGTCATTTTGTGGAAAGATCAATACAATATGGGTTTAGTATCAACAAACTATCAGTAACACAGAGGCAGGGAATCATTACATGTTTACCAAAGGGAGATAAGCCAAGACAATACTTAAAAAATTGGAGACCTATTTCACTTCTGAATACAATTTATAAAATTGCTCAGGTTCAATTGCGACTAAAATGAAAAAGGTATTAGATAAACTTATAAATAAAGATCAGTCTGGCTTTATTTCAGGTAGGTATATTGGTGAAAATACTAGAATTATATACGATATTATGCACTATGCTGAAGAAAATGATATTCCAAGTATGTTACTGACTGTTGATTTTGAAAAAGCCTTTGATTCGGTTAGTTGGGATTTTATTGATAAAGTGCTTGATTTTTTTTAATTTTGGGAAAGATATAAGGAAATGAGTCCATATTTTTCAAAATGGTTCAAACTCATCTTTTAATCAGGGGGGAATTTGTCTTCGTTTTTTAATATTAAACGTGGATGTCGCCCAGGTGACTCCATCTCTCCAAATTTATTTATTTTATGCGCTGAGGTACTAGGAATTAGAATTAGAAATAATGTTAATATTAGAGGAATAAATATTGAAGACACTCCTATACTATTATCTCAATATGCAGATGATACATCAGTCATTATTGATGGGTCTAGAAATTCTTTAAGAGAGACACTGAGTGAATTAAAAAATATGCAGATATATCTGGGTTAAAGATAAACAAAAGTAAGACTGAAGTCATTTGGATAGGAAGCATGAAATACAATGAGGAAAACATTTTGTCCAGAATGGAATTTACATTGGGGAAACAGAACATTTACTATTTTGGGTATTGACTTCCATGTAGATTTACATAGAATGGTAAAAATGAATTTTGACAAAAAAATAGTTAAACTTAAATCCCTTTTAAATGACTGAAATAAAAGGAAACTTACTCCTATTGGTAAAATACACATAATCAAATCATTGCTGGTGTCACAATTCAACCACTTTTTCATAGCTTTGCCAAATCCTGACTTATCTTTATTAAAAGACTAAACTCAGAACTCTACAACTTTCTTTGGAATAGTAAAGTAGACAAAGTAAAAAGGGATATTAAAATAAAAGACTATAATGAAGGAGGGCTGAAAATGATAGATTTACATTCTTTTATTAGAGCGCTGAAGTTAACATGGATTAGAAGATTATATTCTAAATCAAGTAAATGGCGAAGTATCATAGAAAAAAAATAGGAATGATTCAGTTTTGAAAACACTTATCTGGTTTAATGAAAATTTTACTGTAGATGGAAAAATGGTAATTTATAAAGAATGGTATAACAAA